TTCACCGCTGGAGGTTATTACGCTCACGTTCTCATTTCTTGGATTGGGCTGGGTATCGCTCGGAAGTTGGCCCGGTCTTTTTTCGTTTACTTGATGTGCAAGTTGGCCCAGCTGTTTCTCAATGTTGAGAATGGAAGCTTGCTGATTCCTCAACATGTTTCTGGTTTCTTTCATTGCCACATCATGATCATTATGTCTTTTCTCGGACGCGGTTATGAATTTTGTAAGTATATCTTCTAAATTCGGCTTCTTGTCCGTCACTGGTTCTTCCTTTTGATAATATCCCCTCTCCCTCTATTTGTATTTCTCCTCCTTAGCCTTTTTGTACTCTTCGTATGGGAGCCATTCCTTCTTCGGTTTCCTCCAGTCTTCATCGTATCTATCGCCGCTGGAATAGAATACTTGAGCCTTTTTATTTCCATTCTCGTCTCGATCACATTCCTTGGTAAGATGGGGACCGCCACAATTTTCACATCCAACTCTAATAGCATGGATCGTTTGATCCATTTTCGTCATTCTTCGGTCTAGGCTATCGAGTTTAGCTATCACCGCCGCCATGCCATCGTTTACCGAGTTTACTGCTCCACGACTCACTTCATTCCTCGGGTTGTGGTATTCTCTAGAGTGCCTGGAGAATTCTTCAATTAACTCCTTTATTTCCGGAGGTGGCTTTCGGGTGAGTGGGCCTTGTGAATCGAGTAGTTGCCTTGTGGTGACATTTACTCCATCATAAAAGATAGAGACCTCTTGTTGGCTATTGAGATCATGGTGGGGGCAATTTCGAAGTAGGCTCTTGTATCTTTCCCAAGCTTCATAAAGGGATTCGCCGGGTTGTTGCTCGAAGTTGGCAATGGCTTTCTTTAGCTTGGCTATCTTGGAAGGTGGGCAGAAGTGATCTATGAACTCTTCTTTCATTTTGGCCCATGTGGTAACCGATCCGGGAGGGAGTGACTTCAACCAATCCTTTGCAGCTCCTTTAAATGTGACAGGAAGCATGCGTAGTAGCTGGATCTCGCGGGGCACATTAGGTACATTGAAGTAATCCGCCACATCATTTACTTCATCTAAGTGCTTATAGGCGTCTTCATGATCTCTCCCGTGAAAAGGTATCTCCTTGAGTTGAGCGAGAATATGGCCCTTTAGTTCAAACGTAGCGGTAGCGGGGATTGCGGGTTGCACAAGTCCCGGGCCGGTGTCATCACGCATCCTTTTCTTCCACTCCCCCATGGGAATTTCGTCAATATTAGCCATAGCGGTGGCTAAGTCTTCTTCAAACTCGGATGTGTGCTCGCTTTCTTCTTTGGTCTCGTAGTCGGTGTCTTTTGGGATCGGATCTTCGGTTGTCAACGATGCACTGGATGCTCCTGATTTGCTGCTCCTTTTCTTGCTAAAAACGGATTTGAGGTTTTTGAGTGGTGAGTTCTTTGAAGAAGCGGTTTCTCCAACGGTTTTGCCCTTGTTTCTTCTTAATGCGGTTTCCGGATCTTCAAGAGGGGAAACTAGAGGCGTAGCAGATCCTCGGGTCATGAACCAACTGCAAACAAAAACAAAACAAAACGCGTAAAAAGGAACAAAAATTTAAATCTGATTCAGCGTTGTACTCGCCGAGTCGGGGCGAATGCACTCGGCGAGTTCAAGTTAAAATCAGCGTGTTTTTTTTTTTTTTTTTTTTTTTTTACCAATAAACTTAAACAAAAATTAAACAGAAATTAACTTTGTGTAAGATAAATCTTACACAAAGGATCGATTGAATTAGAATTTTAATGCTAATTTTAGAACCGTTCCCCGGCAACGGCGCCAAAAACTTGATGTGTGTAAAACTCACTTAGTTTTAATCCTACTTTAATTATCAAATAACACACAAAAGGCAGTGAACCTATCAATTGTGGTATAGCTAAATAAGCAGGGTATCGAACACAGGGAACGACAAATTAAATTAAAAACTAATTCTATCTAAGTTGATTAAGCAAATAGGGGTTTTTTCTCTAGTTTTACAAGACTAGAAACTTACTAACTAAAACTAATGCAAGACTAGAAAAGAACAAATTAACTAGATTCAATAATGGGAAAGAAACTTCTGTTTAGTTCAACTCGGTTAACTTTATGGTTGATTTTAAGGTAATAGTGCAATGGATTAATTCTTTCGTTGGTTACCGATTCAAGTGATTAGGTTTGTGTTCACTACCCTAATCCTTAGCAAATAAACTAATTCAAACAGTGGCCAATTGCTTAATTTAATTATATTTACTAGATTAATTATTCGGGTTAAGTTAGACTTGCAATAGCTAATTAATTCGTTATTCTTAATTAACCTCTTGTTTGATGGTCATCTTACAAGCTTGCACATGAATTTACTCAATTTCCTTATTAATCCTAGTTTCATGTTCATTAATTCTAGACATATGGTATAGTGGTCACATATCATATGAGGTTGATAATCAATAGATGTTCATGCTAATCAACTATCTTCCTATTAACAGAAAATTAATTATCATTCATACACAAGGTTCTTTAGCAAGCTAAAATAACAATTAATCACCAACTTGGAATTAATCCTACCAATTAATCAAACCATATTGTCAACTTTGTATTCCCAAACAGAAGTCTAAAGAATTTAGTTCATAACTAAGGTAAATAACAGCAAACAAATAAGTTCAAGTTGCTTAATCATGTTGACAAAACAAAAGAATTAAGTAGAATGGTGAAATTATGCCTTAATTACTCCCGGGATTGGATTCTAGCTTCCTTGGTCGACTTCTAGGGTTCTTCTGACTTCTTATTCGCAGCTAAGTACTTCCGAAACTTCCCAGAATTCTCCCTTCTCGATTTGTGGAGTTATCTTTATATATGCGTTCCGACTCGTCGAGTCATATGGTGACTCGTCGAGTCCCTCTCACATCCTTCGTAATCCGATAACTATCTTGACTTCCGAATGATTATCCTTCTGATTCTGCGACCGGACTCGTCGAGTCAAGGCTCGACTCGACGAGTAGAAGCCTTTTCATGGGTGTTTTCTTTCTTCATTCCACTCTTGAGCTCCTGACCGCTTCTCTTGCTTCCTTTCGCTTCCGAGCTTCATCTTTGGACTGAAAAACATAATTTAACACTTTTAAGTACCTTTTGTCCATAATATGCAACAATTTAGCTAATATATGAATAAATAAACTACACTTAATACACACTAAATATGCACATATCATTTGTTTTTTTATTTCATAGATTTTTTCATCAACAAATGTTGCTACAATTTAACAAAAATAAATAATTTGCTAAAACATAATACAAGAGGAGGTTTGTTCACATTTAGTCATTGAACTTTTTAGAGGGAAACGAACTTTCGATTTTGTTCATATTTAGTCACTAAACTTTTTTTCGTTATCTGTTTGCCATTGAACTATTGAAACTGTTCACATTTTACCCTTATGACCGGCAACATCCGGTCATAAGGGTAAAATGTGAACAGTTTCAATAGTTCAATGGCAAATAGATAACGAAAAAAAGTTTAGTGACTAAATGTGACAAAAGTCGAAAGTTTGTTACCCTTTCAAGTCATTATCCCAAACAATATTAGCATTTGGGATTATATCACCATTAATATTCCCTTTTTCTACGATAAACAGGAAAAAAAATTTGGCAAGGGAAGTAATCTTTTCCATGTCTCACTAAAGTATCTTTCATAGACATTTTATATTTATTTGCTGCTACTAGGTTACAACCCAGTGATAATTTTAAATATAATTAAAAAAAATTGATTATATAGTAAAAAACTTGACTTCCTACAAACCTGTTGTTGAACATCAAATTGATACAATTCTCTCTTTGTCACTATAGTAAAGAGAGCAAGATGAAGAAAAAAAATGAAAACAATATTGTATCAAATTGATACAATTCTCTCTTTGTTATTTACTAAATTCATGAAAATTGTTTATGAAATGACTCAATGAGCATCATATGGGAATACTTAATTAAAAAATTAGTTAGTTAAGCCTTCAAACTTTGGCTACAAAAAGCTCTTGATCTTGTTGGTCGTAAGAGCATAATCCATAATGATAACCTTCATCAATATTAGTTGTAAGAGTATAATCCACAATGATAACCTTCATCAATTTTTATTGAAATTTTGGCCTGAAAGAAAATAAGTCTAAAAAAATGAAATATAAAAATTCATTTCTCTTTCCATACCAATATTGTTAAAAACAAAATAATGACCAAAAACTCTTTAATAGTAAAGATGAACCATTTCATGAATGTTTCTATCTTTGAAATGGTAAGCACATTGCAACGAACAAAACCCATCACAGTTTTGCTTTACGGACAAAATCGACTCCATATTTATATCATAAACTTGATACAATTTGTATGCTTAAACCTGACTTTGCAACTTCCATGATAATTAGAAGTGAACAAACCCCTAAAACTATAATCAATATTTAGTAAAAGGATGATACAATTGCGATTTATATGGAAATAAATAGCTTAAATGGTCACATAATCTTCTCTACAGGCTATATAAAGGATTGTGTTACAACCCTTAATTTGATATGTAAGATTGCACAACATGGAGGCATATGCACTTTGAAATTTGTCAAATTTACATTAGATGCCACCCAAAAAATCTGAAGTTTGGAAGCCCCAAACACCTTCACAACATCAAGAAATAATACATTAAGATTCAAAATTTCACCAGTACAAATACTTTAGAGCAATCAAGAAGGTCGAGCAAAGTTATGAAATTATATACCAATTAATCGACTTTAGATAAAATTGAAAAGATATTCTAAATCTCTACCAATGACATGATCTTGAATCACTAATGCAATAAGATAAAAATAATACGTGCATCAGAATCATATCCATAATAACTATAAATCTTGAAGCTGTGTTAAATGATTCAAAATACATGCATATCTTAATTAGTAAGAAATAAAAACTATTTGTTGGCTTTGTGTAGAACTTGATATGAAATCGTGGTACACAACTCGTGTGTAGACTCACTTCTGCTAATGCATCCTGTAAGAATTATCCTCATCGCTTCTGCAACAACATCAAATTCCAAAAAGAGAAAACATATTTCAGTATAAATCGAGGGAATACTCAAAAAGGATTTGGATTTCTCTTTTTAGTATTGTAATCAGATATAACTTGTTTCTCTAATTAAGCAATGCTTTATTTTTAGAGAGTAACACCAAAATGGATTAGGGATGTGATGTTATTTAGTAAGAGCATTTCTCATATCTTTTTCTAAAACAATACTTTTAACCCACTGACATCTATCCACCATATTTAGGTGAGGGAATGAAAGGAATATTTGTCCTATTAACACGAGTCTTAGTCTCAATACAACTTGTTGAAAATAGAAGAGTTAACCTTATGGAGCCGTATAGCTTATTGAACATGTCTTCTTTCACTTTTTCTACTTGGCAAAGAACAATTGTCTGCACAAAAATAACAAAAAAGAAAAATAAAAGATAATTTATTGTGAAACAGATGAGAGACCATGGACGTAAAGATGTGGTGACATTTAGTGGATAGCTTATTGAACAACATATGGAGTGTCATAACATTAACAATTTGTGAACCTGTTTCCTTAAGAAGCTTTGCAAATCATTCTTTATCAAATAACCCTCCAGGGGCTACAAGTAGTGGTTTTGGTTGGATTCATCTGTATAGATTGTCAATTATACCCTTGAGTTCAATTTAATCGTTCCCATACTATTCAACATGGACCATGGCACCAACACCATTACCACTCAAATCCTACACCAATAAAGGATATGAATGTACATATCATACATAAGTAAAAACAAATTTAAGGATTTGAGATGAATGAAGTACCAAATTCCCATGAATGTATTTGATACCCCTTGGAAACAGTATACTTTATAAAATCATGAGCATTGTTGGACTTCCAACTTCCTCCCCAAACCCCCTTCCTAATCTGGTGTCTTCCTCGAAGTGCATTTAAGCCAAAGGTGACAAGTGATCTACAAATACAATCAACAAGTTCAGTTTCTATCAAATTAATGAAGCACGTCTTATATATATATATATATATATATATATATATATATATATATATATATATATATATATATATATATATATATATATACCTTGTCTTGACAAAAAATTGATTCAATTCATCCCATTTATCAATACGAAGGTAGCCTTTAGAGAATTCGAATAATCCCCATTTCAATTTTATAAAGGGATGACAAGGACCTGAGATACCCCCACATCATACACTACTTGATCTTGTAAGGAACCTCCTACTCGAGTTCTTAGATGTTTAAATGTTGTTTAAGTCATATCAATAAAACAAGTGAGCAAAAATCAAGAACACCTTCTTGCGATTGGACTAAAAAAACCTTGGACTGCTTTTGTAAGAATCGGATTAGATAAATCCTGAAAATATGATACCACCAAAAAAAATTATTTTCATTTATTTTGTGTTGCATATAGAAAAGTGTGTGATGTGTTTACCAGATTTAGTGTAGATGACGACCCCCATGGGCAATGATTGTAGTTACACTTGTCATCAGGCCACTAATCAATAGTAGCACAAATGTAATTTGCATCCGTATGTGATATTGGTAAAGTTCATTAATTACAAGTTCCGACTCTTGAACATATTGTGCCGAAATTGTAGAAATCGATGCCAGAAATAGAAACAATGATGCGAAAAACTCCATTAATGGTTAAAGAACTTGACTTCTAGCTCAACCTCGTTACAATTTAGAGAAAAAAGAAACTCTTAGGATGAATATAGAAGAGCAACAGTGTATGCTGCTTGAATGGCCGTGCTGATACATTTTTAAGGAATTATACTTTCCTTTTGTTAGAAACAAATCATAGTGTTCTTGTAAAAGTGTAAAAATGAAAAGAAAAAAAGGTATACATCTTACAAAAATGAATTATTTTTTCCCTTTATATATCCGTGATTTGAGCAAATTTGTTCTTTCCAAAGAGCAATTTTCTTGTTGTGTTTAACATTTCGAGCAAAAATCACAATAGTAAAAACTAAGCAACCGACAACATTATTTGTTTAAACGAAACCTGATTTATTTGAATTTCAAAAATCAGATCCCAATGGATTGATTAATAATATTTTAGAATGACATACATCAAAATGAGATTCTTATAGACCAAAAATTACCTCTAACAAATGGATTGAGTATGCAAAAACTGCATTTGTTGTTGATCCTCGGATTGCTTTCTCTTGCTCATATAATTGTTAAATTAATTAAATGAGAAGACTGAATCTTCATAATATTTAGAGTAAATTACACGAATGGTCCCTATGGTTTGGGGTAATTTACACGTTTGGTCCTTAACTAATTTTTTTAACTCGGAAAGTCCTTACTATTTGTTTTTGTTACGCCATTGGTCCCTATTGTTTGTTTTTGTTACACCCTTGGTCCCTATCTTACCTAAAAAGACTATTATTTAAGTAGGGAAAATGATAGGGTAGGTAAGGTAAGGTGAGATGGATGAAATTGGTGGTGTGTTTATTTAAATAAATAAAAAAATCAATGGCAAAATAATTTTTTTTAAGTAAGACAGGGACCAAGCGTGTAACAAAAACAAACAATATGGACCTTCCGAGCTAAAAAAATAAGTTAGGGACCAAACGCGCAAATTAACCTAAACCATAGGGACCATTCATGCAATTTACTCTAATATTTAAGATATTTCAAATGTATTTTTAAACAAATTACCTGTCATCGATGAGGTAGGGCAGTTCTCCTTCAAATCTCGTATTATTGTTCGAACACTCATATTGAAACCTAAAATCATAAACATATATTGTAGACAAATATGAAGATGGAAGCTTTGTTGTCACCAAATTGAAGATTAGGGTTCAAGAAATAGGTCCTTACGCCCGTATTACAGTCGATGGGGGATACGTAGATGTAGTGTCATGATTGAGTTGCCGAGAGAGAAAATACGAAGAAGATGAACAAAGGGGCTTCTGGGAAAGGAAGTCGACAAAGGACTGATTCAAATTTGGAGATTGAATCCTGATTTCTTGCTATTAGTGTGCTGATTTCATGCTATCAGTGTTTCAAATTTCAATAGTAGGAAATCACAACGAAATCGACAAAATCAAGATAAGATTTTTGAAAATTGATTTCATGCACTAATCAAGGGACCAAGATTTGAGGGTGATTGAAGATTTAAAAGATAAATTTTTGATTTTCTGATTGAAGAGGAAATATTTGACTGTATAAGCCTGAGAGGGATAATTTAGGAATTTCACTTTTGATAAAATGAGCCGGAATACAAGCTAGGATAGGGCTTAGAGAATGTCAAGTGGCATAAAAGTACTTATTTATTAGGATAGGGGATTCCTTAATTCATTCTTATGTATCCATTTTGTGGATTTTTTTTCGCTTTTTGTGATGAATTAGGTGCTTCTATTCGTCTACTTCAAATTAATGTATATATGAAAGTTATGATGATATCACAATTTGGTGAAATTAGTTAATAATCTTCATTTATTTTATTTATAAACAATTTGGCAATTGACATTGATCATTGTTGAAATAAGTTGACAATCTTCATTTACTTTATTTATGAGCAATTCTACAAGAATGACATGTTTATACAGTGTCACAAGACAGCTAAGAAGGAACAAAGAAGGAGAATAATGATTATTTCAAGAATAACAATCTTTTTTTTTTTTTTTTTTTTTTTTTGCAAAAGATTTCAAAAACCAAAAAACGAGGTGCAAACGAACCAAGAAAGAAAGAAGAATTCTTTCAAGAATGTCCAAAATGTTGTTTATGATTTTTATTCTTTCGATGCATTTTACTGTCTAATGGTATTTAAAGTTAATTACCAAAAAAAAAATGTTAGACACCTTTTTAAGTAATACCAATTATAATAACATTTTAACATTAGATTAATATGTTATTGTTGTCATTCTAAGAGAATGATTCAAAATTCTTTATTAGTTTATTGTTGACGTTCTCATGGAATATCATTGTAACAGAATATCATTCTACTAGAATATGAGTTCAGACACAATAAAATTGATTATAATTAAAAATTACATCAGAATTGAAACTGCATTAATTTTAAAAATCAGATTTTTATATTTTGGAGAATCAATAATCCTTTAAAATCGGAAAATTTCCTTTTTTAAATGTCGTTTAAATGACTAAACTACCATTTCAATGAAATTTGAGTGATTATAAAATACATGTTACCTCCATTGTAACATTATAGACCCACGCATCATATTCATTCATTTTCATATATCGGTACAAAATTGTCCTTATAACCACACAATAAATATCATCCACATTATAACCTCTCTCTCTCTCTCTCTCTATATATATATATATATATATATATATATATATATATATATATATATATATATATATATATATATATATATATATGCTAGGCTAAACATAGGTAACATGGGTCCAATGACCCACCTAATTTGTTTTACTTATCTAAAATTTTTATAGAAAATATTTTATGATTTATCTTAAAAAATATTTAGGATCTACCCTTCACATAAAATCTTTGAATTTGTATAAAAGTTTCCTATAGAAAAACAAATGAACCATATGGTTTTTATTCTAGATTCATATATATATATATATATATATATATATATATATATATATATATATATATATATATATATATATATATATATATATATATATATATGATACAAAACATGTTTAAAATATTGTATCCTGATTTTTGGACAACAAAAGTACGTATATGGTAGAATATCAATTTAAGCAGTGGTCCATTTGGGAAAAAAAATAAATAGAACTTAATCGGTACCACATGAGTCACTAGAAGCTACATGAATGTACCTGTGATTGCTCAACTTTGAATAATGTTGTTTTTTAGTTAAAGCGAATAAGTGTTGATGTGGATGTATGACTTAATTCCTTATTTGATTGGCGCGTGGTCCTTATTCAGTTTCATTTGTTAAATAAACAAGTACAAATTTGATATAGATTTGTTTAGAGATTTCTTATTATTTTTAATCCCGTCGTGCACTTGGTGTACGATTATATTATTTTCGATGTCTATTATTTTCGATGTCTAATCACAAATGGTCCCTATGTTTTTAATTATACCATCACAAGTTGCTAATTTGCAATAATGCATATCGATCTTGTACTTGTATTGGCTATCTTTATCGTCAAATGATTAAATTCTTATGCGTGGATTAGAATTAAAATCATGTCTAGAAATACGTTGGCCAACCATTGATAAAACAAATTGTTTGATTCAATGGTGGAACCACAACGAAATATCATGGGTAGCACATATAAATTTTCAAGGCAACACAAGGAAAACAATTGCACTACGCCAAAAAAAATCTCAAAAAGTTCCCACTCTACCTATAAATTTGAGGGGCACCACAAGTTACACCGGACACCTACATAGATCCGACATTTTGATTATTTAATCATTAGAGTGTCTGATTTGAATATTGTAAATTTGTATTTGTTTTCAATAAAATATTGGAATTATCATTTTGAGTTTACGATTAGTTTTTTTTTTTTGTAAAATAAAATAAAATAGCCAACATAATGAATAACAATATATATATATATATATATATATATATATATATATATATATATATATATATATATATATATATATATATATATATATATTTTGTAAGATCCGGATATCCAGGTTTGGAAATTTGAGTATTTTATTTTGGCATGTGAAGAGACTCGGCGAGTTGACGCCCCAACTCGTCGAGTAAGATCGCGTATTAGTGACTTGTTTAATGAAGAGACTCGACGAGTCGGGTATCTGGACTCGCCGAGTCAACGCTGTTAAGAAAAACCCTAATTGTCCGGGTTTGGGACCTATTTAAAGGTCCTTATGGCCTTCATTTGCGACCATTACACCCTGAGAAACCCTAGAGAGCTTAGAGGAAGCTCGTGGTGCATGAGGGAGGCTAATTCGTCATCTTTTGGTGTGCTTTAGCAGAGGGAAGGATGGATTTCGAGCTAGGCTGTCTTGTAGGACTTAAATCTTCCATTTTTTCGTTCAGAGTTACTGTGGGAGGTAAGGATTCATGCCCATCTTCGTTTGTGTGCTAGATTTCATGAATCTAGGGTTTATTCTCTTCTTTTAGTAAGAGATCTAGAGTATGTGATGCCCCATTTTGTCTATATCTTCAGATCTAGACCTTGGAAGGTCCAGAGAGTCCCTATACCCCAACTGTATGCAAATCCTTTAAGAGTCATGAGCTTTGGTCGCCATTTATGAGTGAATTCTCCATTTTGAGACTTATGAGCGTTGCATGTGTATCAAGGTTGTGCCTTTACGTGTTTTTTGAGTTTGGGAAGGACAAATCTATGGATTAGAGGAACAGATATGGCCTCAGAAGGTCATTTGAGTATGATCATGGATGTAACTCGCCGAGTTCATAACTGGACTCGACGAGTCGAGTCGGGGTTGCCCCCGTGATTCGTGCCAGATGTAACTCGTCGAGCAAGGGGTTGACTCGACGTATCAAGAGAGGTGAGAAGGAGGATTCCGTGGACGTGTGGACTCGCCGAGTCGGGTCAAAGTTTGACCGTTGACTTTTGTTGACTTTAGGGTTTTAGTCAAGGCTAACTTAATAGAGTTCAGGGAGGGGGTAGAATGGTCTTCTACCCAATCTTTAAAGATGAGACTAAGAGAGAGTATTGATCGGGAATGTTATTTGGATAATAGGAGGAGGCTTGGTCGGGGCGATGAGCAGGAGAGTTGATCCGACTACGTTTGAGGTGAGTCTTCCCACTATATTTTACCTTGAGTGGTAATTAGAGTTATGCGACAAAGTAGTTGTATACTATTTATGTGATGTGTTGCACTGCATTATTTCTATGTGATTTATGTCGTGTGTATATCACAGTATATCAGAGTTAGAACCGGAAGGTTCATAGAGTTAGGATTAGAAGGTCCATAGAGTTAGGGCCCAAGGGCCCACAGAGTTATAGCCTAGAGTGACTAGTATATGCTATATGTGGTATTTTGGGGAAGTCACTAAGCTTCGTGCTTACAATGTTTTGTGTTATGTGTTTCAGGTACTAGTGAGGATTGCGGAAAGGCGCCAGCATGATTAGTACACACACACGCGAAGTTTTATTTATATGATATGATCTTGGGATTTTTGACTTATGTTTAAATATATGAAACAATGTGTTTTATAATATTGTGAATTAAATGGTTTTCTAAATGTGAAAAATTTGTTTGAAATTTTTCGGTGTTACAAGTTGTCATCAGAGTCTTGGTTTGAGGGATTTGGACGCACGTTCGGGCATATCTGAACTCAAACTGAGGATTTGAGGAAATTTTTTGATAATGAAATAACTTTCAAAGAGTAAAAGAGTTTTGAGACAAACAAAGTAGAGCCGTGTGTACGATCAGCCACCGCCCGAACGGTGATTTTCCAAAATACCCTTACTTTTGTGTTATGAGATATTATGATACATTTTATGAGATATTATGCATGCTAGAGACATGCTAGGTACTTCATATCTTAGGACTAGAGTGACCTGAGGGTGATGCCTTAGCCTAGGAGTTGTTGTTATATGTGACGCGCTTTTGAATATATGTTGAGTAAGAGTATTCAGCTGGATCCTTTTAGGGGATTTGAGTAGAGGAGTCATCTAGGAGAGATGCCTAGACGAGTATTGTGGTGCTTATCGAAAGAATAGTCAGGACCCGTGAGTGGTAGAGTTGTAGAGTTCGGTGGTATTTTTGAGAATGAGCAGAGCAAGCGGAGTTAT